ACTAGCTCCTCTAATCGTACAGTATAGGATAGATAAAACAATTAAAAAAATATTCGTTCTAAATAAAAAAAAAAGAACCATTGAGATATGACAACTTTTCTGCAATGAGAGGTCTTAGCGACAAATGCTTCTAAGAATCATTTTGTTGCTTGGTAATATGAAGTATAGAATCTTCATAATTGATTAGTAGATTGGGCGACATGGTAGTTAATTAGAAAGCCTAATGAAAGAATTGCATCTTATATGTCGTTTTTAAAAAACCAAAAAGAAAAAAACAAATGTTGGAAATCGTCTGGTTCACTTAGCTGTTTCACCAATGATAAAGTTTTTCTTTAACAGGTAGCGTGTGTATTTAAAGCATAGAGCAAGACGTATGGAAAATACCAACGTAAGAACATAAAGAAAAACAGTACGTCAACTCAAATACTGCTCTCTGATAAAGTAAACATCCGGTGTTTCATCACATAGAGAAGACGGAGAATTTTTCAGACTTATTTTAACAAACAAGAAAAGTGAGAAAACAAAGAAAACTCTAAGTAAAAGCTTTTTTTCTGTCTGCTGATTCAAAAAGAAACAGAATGGTGAAATTTTTGTGTACGCGACCAAATACGCCTCTTTTCCCGGAAAACCATGATAAACGGCAGTAAAAGTGATTAACACATGTGTCACTTCAACCTTTTACTTCTCATTTCAGAGCTTAATACATACTGCATAATCGTTGAAACGATTATCTAAATCGAATTAGTTTACTTATTTTCTTTTCGAGTCTGTGCTTCCACTTAATATTTAAAATCTTGTGAATTTGTAATGTTTTTGTACCAGATTATACCGATGCAAACCAAAATCCCTTCGGGCTTTCATTTATCTTTCTTACATGATGAGTTATTCAAAGATCAAAATTCAATATCCGCTATTGTTGATTTACAAGAATAAAAAATTTTCTTTCACCGAAGTATGAAAAGATGTATGCTTCATAATTGTGCAGAAAGACCTCTGTTGTATATGTATTTCTCGTAGGAGTTTGACGATACAGTCTTTGGAAGTATTCAATCAATGGTACTGCATCATTCTATATGAAGGAGGTATGGCCTGTACGCAGGCTAATTGATTATCTTTTCATCAAATATACTTTCAAGTGTTCACACAAATTGATTGAAAAAGGTCCAACTTGTGAATCAGCCATTCCTCGTTCTTTTCAATTGTGTTCAAAGCTCGAGTCATACGACAAACTATAAATGTTGAAATATTTCAAATAGAATACTGTTACACGGGAATTTTCTATCAAAACCTATCAACTTATGAACTGTAATAAAAAGTAAAATCGAAGAAGAAATGAATGAAAAAAAACAGAAATTGAGTTCAGACAGCGCATTCATTTTGTCATTCAATTATTCATGGAAAGAAAATTGCCCAAGAACGTCACATTTCTAAACATTCGACAAAGTTTGAACCATACATCAAGAGTATAAGAAAGGTGAAAAATAAACGATATGTTATCATATACTTCGTGATCAAATTTTTCTGACATCTAATCCAATGAATGAGTGAATATTTTTCCGTTTTTGAAAAGCAGAAATATAACTTTAAAAAAAAGTCGAAGTGAATATCTAAATAAATTGAAATTTCTTCGTTGAAAAAATGAATCAACTATTTCACTCATATTTTCAAACATTCAGAAGAAGAAACTTTGGAAAATTGTTATCTCGGAACAGATAAAAAAAAATCTTGAAATATGTATGGAATTCAAAAAAAACAGTCACTTGGAAAAATTACAGAGACGAAAATGTATGCATTGCAGCAGAATTATTACTACAGTGGCTCATTTCACAAGTCACAGCTTATTACAAAGATTCTCCTGACTGAAAAATTCTATTGCATACAATTTTTTCAATAATAAATAGCAAAGTCATTATTTGAAGTTCAACTGAAAATAAAACAAACAGCAACTGATAACGATATAATTTTGAATGTGGAATGATACAGCAGTACATCATTCTGTTAAATTACATGATCTTAAAATCTGAAAACTCGTATGCAGAAAAAACTTCTCATAAATAACTTTTCTTATGGGTATATGTTTGTAACCGCTCAAGTAATTTCAACAAAGGAAAAATGATTTTAAAGAGTATTTAAATATAAATTTATTGTAGAAAACTAAAGGTTCTAATTTAAGAAACAAGAGATATAAATTTAACAATATCATTAAACGTTTTCCAGAAAACTTTTAATAATGTATATATTCAAAAATAATGCCACAAAATGTGAATCTCTATTTCTCTTGAATAAAAGAATGGTAAAAGAACTTTTGTAAATAAACCATAGAGCTTTTTCTTCTCTTTCCAATCATATAAAATTTATTTTTATAACACGTTCATAAAAAAAGCGATGCAATGGAAAAGAAAAGTATTCTTAAACAAGAATTCGCACTTTTTGTGAGATACACAAAACTGGTGTAAAATTCTGATCTCCATATTTCTTTGATAACTTTTAATGAGTTGATAGGAAATTTTTTCCCCTTTCAAATATTCTATGATTTATGTCTGTCACATATTTGTTAATGAAATGAAACGAGAGAAAACGAGAAATACTGACGCAAGTAATTTGTAATCTATATAAGAAATCGTAGAAAAAAAATCTTATTCGACCACAATTTATTCGAGTATTGTGGATTCATTAAAAAGAATGTGGAAAACGATGGTTTGCTTGACTTTTATAAAATGTTAACCACAACCGCATGCCGTAAACTTGTTTTGTCTCCTTCTTTCCGTATCAGTTTGAACCTTTATTTTTACATAATAAGTAGACTTTTAAATGTTCTTTAAGATGAGTATTTGTTGAAATTGCTGAAGTAGTTGCAAAGATGAATCGATAGAAAATTTTTTGAGAATTTTTTTCATACCTTAGATGTAGTTGTATTAAACATGTTCACACTAAGTTATTTTTGTATATCACCTTCATTTTTCAACATTGTTCTCTTGCGATCCTGAACAAATATTTGTAGATGATAAAATTACCGACAATGAGAACTTCGAAAACCAATGAGAAGCTGAAATATTATATGTGAATATGGAATCAAGAAAAAAGCAAGTACAATCTTATTTTTCAGCTTTCTTGTGGTATGCGTTTCCTATAATGTTAGTGCGCTTTTTCTTGAGAAGAGTATTTCAAGTTTTGAGTTAGGAGACAAAAAAGAAGTGGTTCGCAGTAGAAGCCCATCCTCAAATTTATAACTTTCAAAGCAAACTAGAAACCCCGTAGGTTTCTATGCTAGAAGAGATATTGCATGTTCTTGATCCTTTTCATGTTCGTGAATAGAAGCAATCTTAAAATACATGTTTACTTTCATATTATAATTAATGTTACATTATTTTTGTTTTAAAATAAGCTCTAATGCCTGCAATGAATAGTCGAGTGTCGCTTCGGTATCACCTCTATATTCAGTTATCTGGTACATATTGCTGGTAAAGGATCAAGAGCACTCATGAATGGTTCAGCAACTGAATTGATATCATCAACGTTATAATAAGCTACACTTAAATTATTGAGTGGAGCTTCTCGTACATAGTCATTACCTGGGAATCACATTTTCGTATCTAGTTAACAAGTGTTATGCCTTCTTGTATAGTGTAACGCATAGACTGCGTCATCAAGAATCGCATATAATATTTCGACTGTTTGAAAAAGAGGAATACTCTATATTGGATTTAGATTGTTCTTAAAATCGTTCTCGCTCATAATATTCAGAGTATTACGACTATTAATCAAAGTTAATTTATTATCATTATGTTATGAGTACATCAGAACAATCTTATGAGATTATAAAATAAATCATGGATGGTTTTTAAACCCTAGCAAGACAAATATATGTTTTAGTATAACTGAACTGATTAGATGAATTCAAGCGCTGTACACGAAGTTTTTTGTTCAAATACTCCAAAACATCATCAAAATTGCACATGGTTAGATAGGTAATTATATAGCAATAATTGTTTCATCTCTATGAAGTGAACATCTGCAATGTGAGCATATACTGTTGAGAAAAACACGCTATTTAGTGAAACTATGTCTAGCGCTTTTTCGAACCAAGATAATGCACAATGATAAGCATCTTTTTTTAGTCCTAACTTGTCCCATCAAATTATATGCATATCATAGGATGCCATAATCGATAGAGAGTACCGATTTTTAGGGACTATTTCTAAATTATGTTTGAAGACAAGCTAGCCGTTCATGATAATCGTAATTCCTTTGCCTTAGCTTAATATGCCATCGAGAGTTTTCTTTCAATAGTGATGAAACGAAGAGTGTAGAACCAATACAAAATAAAACTTCTGACTCTTTTGGAAACTGACTAAACTGCTGTATACAGACCGGTCGTATCCATTTATTTTTCATCAATGCATCATTATCAACACTAGTTTCTAATAGTATGTTTGTTGCTCCGTCAGCATACATTAGAGCTATTTCTTTTATTTTCACTGTTGATAAATATTGATTCATTGAAATATGTTTACATACAGTCTGGTGCAAAATTATAAGACCACTACTTTTAGAACTTAGGAAAGTCAGATCTAGCTGATTTTTTGAAATTAAAGACATTGATACATGTGCACGCAGTTAGTGAAATTTCATGAGTTTATTGCTTATGTTTTATCTTTTTTTGAATCTATGCAGTTTATAGTGGTGCAAAATTATAAGACCAGATCAAATGAGATACAAAAAAAATAACTCAAAATGCCGATCAATATCTTGTCTTTGCACCATGTAACTAAATAACTTCAAATAATCTGTCAGGCATTGAGTTGACTAAATCTCGAAGTTGATCAATGCTAATTTCTTCCCACGATCGGAGTATGGCAACTTTTAACTGTTCTTTCGTCCTAAATTGCTTTCCTTCAGCATAAACCTTCCTTGATAATATTCTCCACAGATTTTCGATGGGGTTTAAGTCGGGAGATAATGATGGCCACGGTAAAAACATTAATTTTTTGCGACTTGAATCAAGCAAGATTGACTTTTGCCCGATGAACCGGCGCATTATCTTGTTGAAAAATCCAATTAGATCCCCCAATAGTATTTCCAATGTCAACTAGATGATTTTTTAGTACTTCTCGATATCCATTTGAATTCATTCGCCCATTTATGAAGCATATTGAACTTTTACCACCCCAGCCAAACGATGCCCAAATCATAACACTGCCACCACTTTGAGCACGCGTTGAAAATATCTCTTCTTCTTTACGTAGATCATGCCAATAGTAAGAAAAGCCATCAGGACCATCCAAATTAAATTTCTTCTCGTCCGACCAAACAACTTTATGCCATTCGTTATTCCAGGTCATATGATATTTGGCCCAGATTATTCGTAAATCTTTGTGTGCAGTTGTTAAAGCAGGAGAGCGCTTCTTTTTCATCTTTTTCAAGATATTTGACCTTTTGATGACTCGATTGATTGTCCATCGCGACATTTTCAAACTTAAATCGGCAATAATATTGGCACAAGATATTGACTTGTTACTAGCAGTTCTTAAAATAAGCCGTTTGGTGCGCTCATCGACCTTTTTTCTACGACCTGTTCGTTTTCTTGTGCCGTATTTAAGCGGATCTTTCAAAAAATTTGTTATCAGTCTTCGATCGGTTAATTTTGCTAGCAATATCTCGATGAGACTTGTTTTTCTGGTGTAGGTCTAAAATAGACCTTTTCTCGCTTTCCGTCAAGTGTATTGCTTTGGGCATACCTTAGCGTAAATATGAAATGTTATCTGATTTGTTAATTTTACTTAAAGTTACTCGTGATTAGTTTCTTACTATAAACCTATCACGTGGTCTTATAATTATGCACCACAAAAATGGAGGCAATTCTATATATATATGAAAATAATAGGACTGGTGCTTGAAAATTTTACATCGGTGTTCTTATCACTCACTTGCGTCATATCACTCAAAATAGGGTTCATTTGATTAAGCTTAGTTTAAAAACAAGTGGTCTTATAATTATGCACCAGACTGTATATTGCTTGTAAATTTTTCTAGTTCTAAACTAGACATTTGTTGTCTATGATATATCGTTGATACTGCCTCAGGTACTTGCTCATTAAAGCTAAGCTCGAGTTGTTCTTGTAATTGAATTCTGTCGTCGATGATCACCTTTGGAATGCTGTTGACTGAAAAATTCTCGAACAAAGTACACTTTCGATAAGTAAATGACATCAAAAAAGACACGTTTCTTGTTTGATTCTTCTTCAGCGAGTAACGCAAAAATACTAGTACAAAGGATGTCGTTCGTACACTCATGAGTATCATTTTGAATTGTCCGAAAAAGATCTGCTTTGTTATCAAAGACAGCATGAATAGCTTTAGATGAATCTAAAAATAATTAATGATTGTTATTCGTCTCATAAGCGAATGCATAGATGAATACAATCAGTGTCGGGGTGAGTGCGAGCTTTCCTTTACTTATAGATACCCGCACCCACACCCTCGTTCTGAGTTGTAATTCAATTTTAAACACATATCCAGTCTAAGCCAACACATTTTAAAACAATAAAGAGAGACTTTTCTATGCTAAGTGTTATAGTTATTACTCTGATTGAAGAGTGCAACTGGTGTGGGCATGTGTAGTGGTGTAGATTTTCATTTCACACCTACATTTTTTGTCGTTTATTGACATTATTTCTACAGAAAGAAACAAACCAAAGCATTACCATCAGCTCTCTGACACGTGTGTTTGTATTTTTTACTTTTTTTTTCTCGCTGTTACTTTCTGCATTCCTTCGATAGTATTTATTGTGTGACCACTCATGTCATAGATTCAAAAATACTTGTGATGTTTTATTTCTTTTTCACCTAATCGACTTTGTTCTGCACTTTTCTTGTTTACTTCAGGAGATTCTACTGAAATGACTGAATTACTATTCGGAGACAGTAATATTCACCGACGAAAAAATTCTGCCGATCATACTAATAATCTGCGCGTTATTGGAGCTGGATTACCACGGACAGGTACGTCTTCATTGAAGACTGCTCTAGAAATACTTGGTTTTGGTCCGTGTCATCATATGACCGAATTACTGAAAAAACCAGAACAAGGTGAAATATTTCTGCGGATATTCGATGGTTATGAGGCAGATTTTCGCGAATTGCTGAAGGGATACCGATCATCAGTTGATGTTCCAACGGCCTTATTTTACAAAGAACTTCATCAACTTTATCCTCAAGCAAAACTAATACTTACAGTACGGGATACAGATGAGCAATGGTTTGAATGTTTCAAGAATTCGATTGCGCCTATATGGTTAGATAATTTCTTCTTTATTACCATTTATCCTCTTCGAAACTTACGTTGGTTATGCAGAGTTGCCAGAAAAATGGCTCAGAAATGGATAACTGAATATGGCAGCATAGGACCCCATATTCATGAATTACATAATGCTCGGGTGATAAAGGAAAATAAATCAGACGAGTTACTCGTATTTAATGTGAAAGAAGGATGGCCTCCTCTCTGTCGATTTCTGAACGTACCGATTCCACAAGATATTCCATTTCCAAACGGAAACGGTCCCAAATATGTTCAGGGCAGACTTCAAAGGGCGAGAACAATAGGGTGCTGTGCTTGGATCCTTATTGCTGCAGGACTAGCCATTTTAATTTACTTCTTGTCTTCACTGATTGATTTTTAAGTGTCGATAGTTGTCGTCATATTTTGAAATAAAATATTGAGAAAAAACTGCTCATTATCAATAAATGAATGAAGCTGAGTATTACTCAGTAAAATAATAAAAATAAAAATCACTGAAACTTGTAAATGACACGTACTAATATTTTTTCAAAACTAGTCAAAGGGTGTAAGTGTAAGTAGTCTTTTGATGCATATCTATAGCCTCATACTATCCACATTCATGCCCACATACAAAACCACACCGCGCATCTTTGTCATAGAACCTTTCCAAGTTTAGTCGCATATGTTAGACAAAGGCTTTTAATGATGCAAATTAATGTTATATCGAGATGTTCTAGAAAGACTAATTTTTCAATTCTTACTTGAAATTGCAAGAAGTATGCCAATGTTAAAAGAGAATCTAGCAGAAGCTCTGATAGAAAATGGTCTTACATGACTGGTGATGAGTTTGAATGTTGACGAAATCCACCAATAGACTCAAATTGATGTTTGTTCATTGGGCGAAAAATATATGAAGAAGTTGAAAGTATAATGCAGGCAATAGTGCTTCATATGCTCCTCATATATCGTAATCTATCTTTGAGAAAACACTTTTCATGTATTTCTGAGGCAACGGCAGAAATGAAGACTGCAATGTGCAAACAAGATTAAAAAAATTTTAGCTGAACACGCTCTCAGTCTCGTCCTACGCTCCTTTTTTTCATAACGAATATGTATATAATTAGATTATAAAATCATCTGAGTATATCATCGTGGATATTCGATAAAGATTTCTCAATGTATTAGACTCGCGCATGAGTAAATGAAAGGTTGTCACTGTCTCTGCCGTAAAATATATATGTCCTCAAAATCGTTTCAATAGAGAGAGAACTCTAACAATAACTATAAGAGAAAAAAGAACGAAATCGACTAAACAATATGTAAGAGGTAAGAGATAAGAGATAAGAGATGTATCTTTACATATTTCTTTGTATAATCGCTATTTTTTGATGACCAAAAGACATTAAAATGTCCTCTGTAGACACACAACAATATTTAATTTGTCCATTAACATTGCAATTATTTAATGAACCAGTTACAGCTGAAGATGGTCATACATATGAAAGGAAAGCAATAACTGAATGGATTACTCAACATGGTACAAGCCCAATTACAAAGAAATTTTTAAGTATCAATCGATTAACACCAAATTATGCAATTAAGGATGCTGTCGAAGCTTTTAAACAACAACAGGCACAAAGTAATATACTACCAAGTATATCCATTGCTGATGCTAATGTAAATGGTTAGTAATGATAGGACTGTAAAATTTCTAACTATGATATGACCAATCTCATTTCTTTCATTTTGTCTTAGCTGACAAGCGTCAAAATTTCGAAGCGTTAGATGTTCTCTGTCGTTACTGTAGATTAACACAACAATTTAGCAGCATAAAAGAACATCAGGTAAACTTTCATTGACTAAAACTAAATTATAGAGATTGCTAAAAAAACGCTCACTTTCTGTTTAGTTACGATGTTCATCGAATTCTGACAATATTGTGCCATTTGAAATAGCAGATAATGAAGCTATGTTTGCAAAATCTCAACAAACATCTTCTAGCAACAAAGCTTTTCAATATAAAAAGACATTTAGCTTTACCAATCCCCTTGCACATCGGGCAGCCAATTCGACCACTACTGAAGAACGTAATCAGACTCGGCTCACAATCAACGAAGAAAATCAAAAACACGCCGAATTATGGAAAGAGCGACGATTTTCAATGTTGAAAAACCGTAAAATAAAATACTATTTAATCATTCTCGTGGCTCTCATATTAGCGGCTATCGCAATCACCTTCATAATTTATTATGTAAAATGTAAAGAACAAAAACGCCCAATAGGTCAGTTCTCTTCTTATACTGATCTCCTGCATTCATAACTTTGTAAAATGAAGAAATAAAAGTGAAAGTTCGTTTTCTTTCTGTTTCACAGCAGCATCGCCATCAACCACATCGACATCAACGATGGCCTCGACTTCAATGATGGCTACTACTTCAACAATAGCGTCTACTGCAACAATGACCACTATTTTAACAATGACCTCGACCTTAACGATGGCTACTACTTCAACAATGGCCTCAACTTCAACGATGGCTACTACTTCAACAATGACATCTACTGCAACAATGACTTCGTCTTCAACGACGATCTTGACTTCAACGATGGCTACAACTTCGAGTTCGACTTTGGATTCTACTCCTCAAATGCCTTGTGCTTCTGCTGAATGGAGTTCAACTGGGATTACAATTACTTCAGACCTAGATAGTCCACATGATATTGCTATTGACAGTCGAGATAATATTATCGTTGCCGATACTGAAAACCATCGTTTACAAAAGTATTTTACTAATGGAACAAATATGACATTGTTAACAGACATCAAAGCATCTAGTATATTTATTGACAAGTACGATAATATCTATGTTACAGATGCATTTGGTGATGAAGTTAGGATATTGAGTTCTAATGGTGAATTAATAACAATAATTGATGGAAGTAATATTTCAGGCAGCATAGTGAATCACTTCGTTTTTGACGGTCAACCATGCCTTTATGTTGATAAAAATAACACCGTATATATTTCAGATACTGGTAATCATCAAGTTATCAAATACTATCCAAATTCAACATCTGGTATTGTCGTAGCTGGTGGAAAAGGACAAGGACCTGAATTAAATCAATTGAATACTCCATATGGCATTTATGTTGATGAAATCAATGAAATTGGTGCAATTTATATTTGTGATTTACAAAATCATCGAATTCAAAAATGGCTTAATGGTGCGAATGAAGGAATAACTGTAGCTGCCAATGACGATCAGTTAGATTCTCCAGTTTCAATTCTTTTGCAATCAACAGCAGATCGAATGGTAATGTTTATATCGAGTTTCTCTGCTAATCACGTTTTTAAATGGATACCATATGAACAAGAAGCTCAATCTGTTATTGCTGGAATCGGTGGTTTTGGTGATGAAGCGAATCAACTTGATGCACCAAGAGGTATTAAATTCGATAAATATTGGAATTTATATGTCGCCGATAGTGGTAATAATAGAGTACAAAAATTTCTTTTTAATACTTCTTCGTGTGATAATAGTGATTAAAAGCAAACATTGTATTTCTTATGATTATATTCATTGAAATTAGAGAAAGAATTTTCTTTCGAACGTCAAAATGTTAATTTTAGAAAACAACAAATTTCGTCGATCTCTTCTATCGAATATGCTATGGCTCATCATTTTTATTACTGTTTCAAGTGTAGACTCATCCCTTCTTGTTTAATGTTCAATAATCTCTGTCTCTCGCACTAGTGAAAAATAGCGACCAGCGCAGAAGAGTGTTATTATTGTTCACTAACTCATAATCATTTCAATGATTAACACCTCAAGACAATATGTCTTATGCTCAAACATGATTTACAAAAAAAAAAAATCTTTTACTTTTTGCTTCTCTATTGACAGTAAAATTATGAAGCAGAAATTCTTACGTAGCTTTAAGATCTATTTACTTGTGCAGTCGATTAAATAGAAGAATTATTGCTTCTTTGCGGTGAATCCTACTTTGGTCGAAAGCGAAAATGAACTAGTATGCAGAGATATAACACTGAGGATTAACGTCCTGAAACCCGATCTGGTGCCCGGCACCCGGTCAGTTCAGATATGACGTTCTACCGAGTAGCTGGTTAATGCGAGTTTGAATATAAATGAAAATTTCCAACACACACCTCCCTTTTTTGCGAAAAAAAAACAAAAGATAAAATGTTTTCGAATTCCTATATTTTCAAACTGAAACAAGGCTGTCATATCACTATGGTAAAAAAAACCAAACGACACAGTTTTATTCATACTATAGTTTAAAACTCTGTTTTAAAGAAATTCTCATATATGTTTAGGAGAAAAGGAAAACCTACAGTTGATTTTATCTTTCTGTATACATACACCATATTATTATTTACAAAGATCTTATAACATTAATCGATGTGTGCAACGATAATATTGCGGATATGGTGATATTTTAGTTGATTTTTCGTATTTTTCTTTGAAAAAATTGTTCTACTCCAATTTTCATTGATCTCGCATGATATTTCATTATTTTAGGGTTGTATGTTTTTTATGATAATATGAGAAGTTGATTATAAGCAGAACTCTATGTCAGGGTATGCATATGGGTCGATGTCAATGTGTTCAGTTTTTCTCTCTACAACCAGACCCATCTGCATTGCCACCAAGCGTTTGCTTTCAAATACAATGAAACTTTCTTACTTGTAACATTTTAAAAATGTCACCTAAATATCATTATACACTTAAATTGTGAAGAAATGAAACTAATCCTTTGTTCTTAGGATCTATCGAATACGAAAATAGTACATTCTAAGTCAATATCGAAGCAACAGAGTTGCGGCGCATACTTAAAGGTAAGTCTTAATGAATTAGGAGGATACTCGAAGTGATATCGTATATTCAACTTCTGCACATTGTCAGTCTTGTCTGGTTCATTCAGTGGATGTTTTATTGTTTTAAGTCAGACAATATGAGAAAAGGATGGAACTCATTTTAAAAGCAAAGTAATTTTAGGTAGAAGCTAGATAAAATATGTCATGTTTTCTGATGAATTTATGAAAAATACTACAGGTACATAATGCCATACATGAGTCCGAGAAGTTATTTATAAAATTAGTAAATATGATATAAAGAAGAGAGAAACCGAAACAACATGAATCTCACTGATCCATGATTGGATTTTTACTTTTCGTTTTTCACACACAGCTCTTTTTTAAGCTACTAGAAGTTAATACGAAATCGTGCAAGTGTATCTTTTCACCGATTCAGCATTACAAATGTATGATACAATTTCATCGTGAAATTTTCCTATGCTATGCTCTTCATTCACATGAATTCTACAAGAACTTTCACCAGTGTTTATTGCAGACTATGCAAAATGATGATTTCTAAAGACTATATTAGTAGGCAAATGATTCACAATTGATTCGAGAGATATTAATAACAATGAAGTCAAAGGTGAATTTTATCGTATAATTTTCTCTCTCTTAAATCCTTGTGAATGACAACAGTTGTGTATCATCATTTGTACCTTAATGTTTTCTCATACTTCATTATTCTAAAAGCCTCTTCATTGTTCAATGTATCATGAATTAGCAGTACTATAACTACCTAGATGTCAATACTACATAATGAGCCACTCAAAAAATTAGTTTCTCAGCTCAATGATTTTTTTTTCCTACAGATGATCGATCGTACTTACTGTAGCACAACGTTTTAGAACGAGAAATTATCTTTAGCATTTTCCGACGCTAAGAAAACAACAAACAAAGATTAATATCTCTGTTTCACTTGATTCTACTTGATAGATTTTAATTTTTCTTTGGCCATTCTTCAATAAAGAAGATAATAACGACGTGTTCAATTCATTTTCGATGGCTTACCAGAACTTCTATACAATGATATCATGTCCATTGTGCTGGATACTGTTTTTCATGATTATCAGTACCCAAATCTTCGATCTAAGAAATCAATCGATTTATTTCTTTAAAATATTGTCTTTCCACTCGCCAAATATCATTCAAATCTCAATGAGCCAAATAAATATCAATACATCTATAAGAAAAAACATTCATAATATCTAAACATTTATTAAGAAACATACTTGAGACATTTTGTTCATGTGAAGCTTCTTGATATTCACAAAAGCTGAAACCTTTAGTTCAACTAGAAAATAAAAACATAATTAAATACGATGAAAAATACCAATTCTTCTATCTTTGGATAGTATTATATTTTATATAGGCAACTTTGCAGCAGTCTGCAAGGCTTATATTTTCGAAATTTCTTGGGACTTGAGGCTGTTGCTGAGAATGTCAGTGTGAGAGATTTATATGATAAGGCTGATGACAGAGTACTATAAGGATACCAATTTATATCTATTTACAACTTAGTTTATGCGTAAATTAAATTATGAGAAAGTTAAATTTAAAATAAATATTAATCATCAACTATTTGATTTAGTTTAGATTTAAATTATCGGTAATTTAAATTTATTTTAAGTTAACAGAAGACTAACAACCTGAGAATCATATGTTCGTAATTAGTTCGCTAGAATGCAACTATGTATTATTATGTGATAGGATTTTCAGTAAGAATTGTAATAGGCACTTTTTATGGCGTATCGATCGAAAGAAAATCCGAAGTAGAAACAAAAGAAAAGGCTGAATAAGAATTCGAATCTTACAT